GCTCACAGCAACCTCCAACTCCTGGGCTCAAGCGAGTCTCCTGTCTCAGCCTCCCAAGTAGCTGGGACCACAGGCGCCCGCCACAACGTCCGGCTATTTTTTGGTTGCAGCCGTCATTGTTGTTGGCGGGTCCGGGCTGGGGATTTGAACCCGCCACCTTAGGTGTACGTGGCTGGCGCCCTAGCCGGTTGAGCCACAGGCGCCGAGCCAGACTTTGACTTTTTAAAGTGAAGAAACGGCCGGGCCGGGTGGCTCACGCCTGCAATCCTAGTACTCTGGGAGGCTGAGGCAGGTGGATCACCTGAGCTCAGGACTTTGAGACCACCCTGACCAAGAGTGAGACCCCCCGTCCCTACTAAAAACAAAAATTAGTGGGTCATGGTGGTGCATTCCTACTGTAGTCCCAGCTACTAGGAAGGCTGTGGCAAGAGTTTGAGGTTGCTGTGAGCTATGACGCCACAGCACTCTACCCATGGCGACAGCATAAATAAATAAAGACTCTAAAATTATACGCGCTCCCGCTCCACCACCCCCTGGTTCCTCCAGCAGCACAGTTTAAGCCGGGGGCGCGCAGTGGGCGTGGCAGTGAGGCGCACCCTGCCCAGCACTCGTTTTGCCGCCTCACAACCCATTTCAGGTAGGTGCTCTCCGTGTCCCCATTCACAAAGGAGGAAACAGAGGCACGGCCAAGGTCACGCAGCTGGTGATTGAGTGTCACGGTATCCTATCACCAGAAAAGGGAAGGCTCCACAAGCGCCGAGTGTTGTTCATGGGTAACTAGCATTTTTTTGAACGTTCTGGCACGCCATCTGCAAGCCCAAGCCTTTGTATTGGTAACACTGCAAACAAAACAAAAGCTCGCCCGCACCATGGAAGGCAAGCACGCTCCACCCCAACCCCCGCTGCCAACTCCGCGCGCGGCGACACTCGGCCGGGCGGGTTGTCCTGGGCCGGAAGTGAGGACGCGGGATCGGAAGCTGTAAGCAGAACAACTCGGACCTCTGCCTACTGGTGGACGGCGGTTGGGCCGTTGCGGGCTGTGGCTCTGCACCCCCGGCTCCGAATGGAGGCGGGGTCTGGTCCCGGTTCTGGGCTCTGCTGCAAGCCTGGCGGGCGACTGGACATGAACCACGGCTTCGTGCACCATATCCGACGGAACCAGATCGCCCGGTACCGCCCCAACTTGCGCCGCCGCCGCCACCCCTGGTCTGGCCTGGTCCGGCCAGGCTGTCCCTGACTCCCGCCCGGCTCCCCGCAGGGACAACTACGATAAGAAGGTGAAGCAGGCGGCCAAGGAGAAGGTGAGGAGACGACACACGCCCGCCCCGACGCGGCCCCGGAAGCCAGACCTGCAAGTGTACCTGCCGCGACATCGAGGTGAGGCCGCCCGCCCCGCCTGTCTCAAGCCCGCGAGCTCTTCTTGCAACGC